CTGTCCTTTCCCCAGAAAAATCGAAGTCCCTGGAGAGTGCTGTGAGAAGTGGATCTGTGACCCGAAAGACGAAGTGATTTTGGGAGGTTTTGCTATGGCTGGGGGGGGGAACAAAAACGGTCATTGTGAGGAGGAGGTGATATCATACTGGAAATATCCACGGGGTTGGCAAATCTAAGACACGTTGCTTTGTGCGGTCATTTTTTTCTGATCTTTTTTTCTCACCTAGAGTCACTAGTAAGTATACCAGTAGTTATGAATAAAGGCAGAGCTCAGTAGCTAAAAGAAAAGATGCGGAGGATGAATACGCATAGCAGTTTTAAAAGGTAGTTAACTTGAGTTAGTTCCCAATTCTGAAATTGCTGTTTGTCTGGCACAGGGTAGTTCTGTGAGTGGAATAAAACAGGGGTAAGTTCATAATCAAAAAATCAAAGCTGCAGTCTTGCTAGTTGCTCTGCAAGACTATATTACATCATAAATACTATTCTAACAGCTTAGTCTACAAGAGACTTTTTTCTCCTAAATTCCCCAGCTATTACAAGTGGTCAGCATGGTAGCTAAAATGCCAACAAATTCCTGTCTGTCTGTGCTAGAGCTCTCATCATTATTGTTGGCATTAAAACCATTACAAAGTACTTGGAGAAGCAGTGGTTATAAACACAGTGAGTGAATCTGAAAAAAAAAAGCCCATTCCAAAACGCAGAACTCATAAAGTGCTTTTGTAATTGAAACAAGCTACATAATATTTTCTCCCTGTTTTCTTACTGAATTATGTCTCCATCCCCTTTAAAATAGACTATTAGTTCAATATGAATAATAAGCTCCTTTTACTGAGAGTTGAGGGCACTGCATTCTCTTCCAGTCACTGCTCTTTGTGGTCTTAAGCAGTTAGTTATGCTGAAACTCAGCTAATCCATTTGAAAAACAAGTAAGTAAGGATCCAGGAAGAAAAGCTCTAATAACTTTTCAGAATGCTATGAAGTGTCAGTTGTAAGGCACATAAGGTATAAACAAAAAGCTTGCCACCTTTCTACTATCTTTCCTTGTCTTTGATTTGTCTGACAGTGACAGGTTAATCCATAAAATGCCTGCAGATGGATTATCTGCGTTCTTTCTAGCAATGGCCATCCCTCTTGGGAGGCCACTTTTTTTGGAGCTCTACCATGCAAAAATGCTGTTGTAGAGGAGCTTAACAGCAAGAGCTGTGAGTGATGGCTCAGTCGTGTTGCCTCATTCTGTTTACACCTGTGATAACCGCTGAACCAAGCTATAGAGTTAGCAATATTTGCGTAATACAGCTTAACGCTGCTATGAGGGCAGGACAATGATCAGAGTTGGCTATGCCTTTGAGTAGCCGTGATAACTCCTGGAAATTACTTCCTTCCTCCCTCCCCACCATCACCCTGGCTATAATCTGTCAATAATTGAGAACATCAGGTGACCTTATGACTCTTGGAGTAAAGGACCTGACTTCCGTGCTGTTTATTAGTTAAGTCATTCGGCCTCTGAAATCAAATCTAATACAAATATTTTTATGATGCAGCTTTAGAACAGATTTGTGATGTATTTCCATTGGAAA